ATCCCATGACTTCAAATAAGATTACAGGCATTATATGTTAATTTAATAAGCAAATAAGTAGGCTATAAACGATAAAATACAAGACAGAAAGCAAACATGTCTTTTCTTTGTTTGCTTTCAGTGATTGCAAGCAGTGATAAGATATTTGACAGTTTTAAGAGTGTCAGGTGATATCCATACCTGCTTGACTAATTTATAAATTATATTAATTCTATGTATTTATATGTTTTTTGAGAGGTATTTGGCTAAATATTTATTTTATATATATATATATATATATATATATATATATATATATATATATATATATATATATATATATATGCAATTTAATGATAGCATTTAAGAATTATTATACACAATATTTACTCAAAATTCACTTAAAAACCTTAATGACATCACAACGTTTAAAAGGAAATTTTCCTGGTTTTAAGTGCTATAATCAGGTCCTCGGTGCATCTACTAACCAAGGAAACGTGAAAAAGATTAACCTAGTAACTTTGTTTTGGTAAGCCTTTTTTTGCAAGTCTGATTTTGCTCCCTTGGTGACGTGGCAAAGGGATCTCATTATAATATTACCACCCCTTAATCTGCATGTTTCCACCCACGGCGCCGTTATTTTGATTTCGCAAGCGACAACGGTATAATGCCATGGCGAAAGTTTGAGCAAAACATGCTAACTGTTCTGTCTTTGGCTGCACAGACGAGCACAGAACACTATTTACAGTCCCAGCCTCAGAGGAGACAAGAGAGCAGTGGATTTATTGATTTATTTAATGTATATTGCTGCTGCCACAGATCTAAAATAAACATGCAATTTATTTCCCAGCTGTTTACCTTCACAGACATAACCGACTGTTTTTGTAACTCCAGTGTTTTCAACGTAAACTTGTGTGTGAATGAGAATTTAGTTTAGTACTCACATGCTGTGACAGCCGCTTTCTGTCCGTGTGCTTTGGTTGTGTGCGCTCAGAAAACCGTATATCAGAAGTTTAAAGGGGTCATAGAATGTTGCTAAAAAGAACATTATTTTGTGTATTTGGTGTAATGAAATGTGTTTATGCAGTTTAAGGTTCAAAAAACACATTATTTTCCACATACTGTACATTATTGTTTCTCCTCTATGCCCCGCTTTTCTGAAATGCATACATTTTTACAAAGCTCATCGTTCGGAAAAGCGAGGTGTGCTCTGATTGGCCAGCTATCCAGTGCGTTGTGATTGGCCGAATACCTCAAGTGTGTGACGGAAATGTTACGCCCCTTACCATACTGTGATGCCTTGTCCCGGCCGGAGCGACGAGACAAAAACATTAAAACCCAATATAAATTAGGCATTTGTTGCATCCAGTGGGGACATCATTACGGATTATAATGATTTATACTGTCTTTTTACGCGTTGCGTTGCATCGCGCCGCGTAAACAAAACCATGTCTGCATTTGTGATGCAGACACTTCTCTACACTGCGCAAAACTTGCGTTTGAATCGTCAGTGGCAAATCCTTTAAATATAAAAAAACAGCCGGCATTGTAGTCTACTCTCCCAGGATCAGGAAACAGTCCTCCATAAAATGCGCTGCACACATTTGAATATTTGGGTTGAACTGTTCTGGAACAGTGTTGTAAATACAACTTAACCACTGATTTCTAGTCGTGTCCTCTTTTGGAAGCCCAAACAAAGTAGTTTGGATTTCACAACGAAACACAGCGTCACACACGGCGGGCTAGAGTGAGCGGAGGCCGGCGGCTAGAGTGAGCGGCGATGCAAATCTTCCCACATAGTGATGTAGACATGTGGGGGCGTGTTAGAACGAGCCATTTTAGGTAGGCGTGGTTGACTCTTAACTTTTATAAAGAATATCTCTTTGTATTTGAGACTTTAGTCTTTGCGACTTTACAGATCTTCTTTATGCACCAAGAGCTTGTAACACTCCAAAGAGAAAGGAAAAATTGAAATCGCATCATATGACCCCTTTAAACTAATATGGTTTAAAAAACGCATGATTTCAGCGCGATAAACATGATAATCAGAACCAAAACAGATGTTTTTAGCAGGTCCGAGCTGTAATGGAGCAGTTCTATTCTGGAAAAGGGGGATGGGACCAGCAGCTCATTTGCATTTAAAGAGACAGGCCCGAAAAACAGCGTGTTTCTGCTTCCACTCAAAATAGGCATTTTCAAAATGATATAATAAATGATCTATGGAGTATTTTGAGCTGAAACTTCACAGACACATTCTGGGGACATCAGAGACTTATATTACATATTGTAAAAAGGCGCATAATATGTCTCCTTTAAAAGAAAAATTCTCTACGCATTTTAATGACAGAAAGTGAGATTATTAATTATTTTACACCATATTTACTGAAAATTGAAAATACGTATCCATTGGCTGTTTTGAGAGACTGGCTTGACAAATAGTTAAATTATATTAATTATATATTTATATTGTGTCAGTGAATTCTTTAATCTACCAACAGCTCAGTGAAAATCTAAAAAACTATTTCAGCAAAGCAAAGCTTTTGAGTACATTTTTAGTAAATATTATGTAGAAGAAATAAGAAATCTCACTTAACAAATATTACAATAATATATTAGTTAATTAAGAAGGCATGGATATCAGCTGACAATATTACAATCATACAATACAGCATATACTGTAAAATACAGTAAGTGAACTCTCTGTATGCTAGATGTTGTGCGATTAGAGCAAGTTCAGAGGTGTCAGGTGATCACACAGTGATCTTAATAATAAATGTGAGGTACGTGGGAACACTTCCTATTACATTTCTTCTCATAAACCCGTAATTAGTTCATTGTAACATCTCCACAACGAGCGTGAGGTGATAACTGAGAGTCTAGTTTCTTGACACACTTCTACAACTCTCTACCACTGAGAGCGAGGGGTGCGACGCTACTAAAATCATGCGTTTGCAATGTATACAGCTCTGTTGATTATAATGGATGCGTTCTATCAGGGCTCAAAGTTTAGATTGTTAGCTTCAACATTTAGCCCTAACAACAGGAATAAAGTTACTTGTTACTTTCTGGCCTCACACAGTAATTATCAGGCATTCTGAGATGTGCATTGTCACTTTAAATGGCATGTCGGGACAGATTGGAAAGCTTTTCACTGGATTGATTGACTCGCATTCTTGAAACTCGAAATGAAGCCGCTCAGATCTATAATGCTAAATGAGCTATTCTCACGGTGCTGAATGAGACACATGATTCATAGCTGATGCGGCTGCGCTTCCTGGAACAAAACCATTGAGCCCAGCTGTTCCTGTTCTCTACATCTGGCTGATATAATAGGAGAACGACAGGAGCTATAAAGACCTTTGAGAATGTTTTACCACATTTACTCTGTGATAAACTCATGTCCTACATACTGAAATGTCCTAGGTTGCGTTTTGTGAAAAAACTTAAATAATAATGCGACGACACTACTGAATCGAACAAAAACAAAATGTTTGGCTTGAGATAATTCAGCCTTTACTACGCTAAAAAACTATTTCTTTAAAAAGTGGGATTTCTCAGACATCCCAGTGCTTACAGCTTACAACACAATCTACAACTAAAATGATTATGAAAAACAATATATTGATACAAAACCATTAAATAGCAGTTAAATGGTGAGTTCGCCGATTTTCAGCCAGCTTTATATTGTTAAAATGTCGGTAGTAAGTAAACAAACAATGTGTATTATTTTTCCATTTTACCTGCACCAAAATATCCCATTTATTTGTCAGCAAAAGTCTTTTGACTATTGAAGCTCCAGGGCTTTTTTTTATACTACAGATGGTTTTATTTTTTATTTTAGTCAACTATAATAACCCATTACTTCTCACTGTAAACATGTTTTGCCTGGTAAAGGCAAAGTGTTGAAAATGCAATTTCAACTGGAAGAAAATTTGAGCTCATATATTGAAATAATATTTATTTCTAAAATTGATACATAAATAATATTAAACATTTATTACACTTTTCTTAACTTTCTTCACCACAGCACTGTTTTTTCAAGCATTTAGTACCGATTTCTTTTTTTTAATTATTGTTTCTACGGCATAGACAGAATTACCCCTTTATTAGCAGCTGTGCTTGTGTAAAAATGAGTGACTGATCATATAACCAATGACTATGGAACGCAGGTTGATGTAAAAATGTCTGAAAGTGCAATCAATCAGCATTCGCTCTCCACACATGATGTTATCAAATCAATGATGTCAATGCAAATCAGTTCAGAAACCACATGCAGCAATTTTCAAGACAGGCATTTGCTTTAGGCTACTTTCCATACAGTTTGTGTATTAGATAAAACAGTCTCAGTTTTCAATCCATCCCAATTGAAGATTTCATGCACATTAAGGACAAAATAAAGTGGGGTTAACTATATTTGGTGTCATGAAAAGATGATTCTCCAAGGGCTGATTCACTCTGGCAAAACTGAATTCCTAACCGCACATGAATGACATTATTTCAGTTTAAAACGTAAAAACCTTCCTGTTTCTGTTTTCTGAAAGCATGCACACTGGATGTCTAACAAAAGTACAGTGCCATTGAAAACATCATTCCACTAAGCCACTTTTATCCATCATGTTCGTTCACCACCTGCTTTGAGCATTTCAGACATTTTGAGTCCCACTGACTCATATGTTTGCGCCAAACACACCAAATATGATGCAACAAAGTGATTTTTATTTCGCATGTTGAGTAGTGAGTATCTGGTCATAGAATAGTTTACCAATTACATTAAATAAAGCAAAAAAGCAATGAAATTCAACACCCTAGGCCATTCCACTACATGAATATCCATGCACAAGACAATATGTACTTTTTACTTTTTAGAAGGAGAAAATATCAAGCTACAAATAGTTGGCATTTGTCTAATTTAGTGGATTGCATCCCACCAGTTGAGAAGCATTGACCAGAGGCAAGCAAGCCTCATTTCAAGCTACACAGCTAGTCTAGTGAAACCTGCTGCCTAATGTAGGCCAACTCACCCATATCTGCAGTTTGATTCTCTTGTCGTTCTTGTAGACGGTTTTGACTTTGAAATCGATGCCCACCGTGCTCACAAACGCTGATGTGAAGGAGTCGTCAGCGTACCGGAAGAGAAACGACGTCTTTCCTACACTGCTGTTGCCGATGATCAGCAGTTTGAACATGTAATCGAAGTTCTGGTCAGATCCTTCTTTCTGTGTCGCAGCCATCTGGAACAAGAAAAGACGCTTTCAAACAAACAGCTTCGGCAGCACAGATGTGCATTTTATCTGCACCAATAAATCTTCAAAAGCTCATCGCTATATTTCATAATAGTGGACCCTAATCAAGCAGTTTCAACTGAAGACTGTCAGATTTTTAAACTAACAGTTTAAAAACAATACAAATCGTCTCAGGTTACTTATGTAACCATGGTTCCCTGAGTAGGGAACGAGACACTGCGTCCTCTAGGGGTCGCTATGGGGAAACCTAGAGGACGCAGTTCGAAGTTCCCATGGAAGGGGACGTCTCAGGTTACTTATGTAACCATGGTTCCATGAGTAGGGAACGAGACACTGCGTCCTCTAGGTTTCCCCATAGCGACCCCTAGAGGATGCAGTTCGAAGTTCCCATGAAAGGGAACCAACACTAAACTGTTATTTATTGACAGAAACACTTGGATTAATTAAAGCCATTTGATAATACACTGTTATTATTTTCAGTGTTCATGACTGATATTATGCTTGTTTAATTGTCTGCTAACCAATGTAGAAACATATTTTAATTTCTGTCTTCTTAAATACAATTATAATCATTGGACTAGAATATAATTATGAATAACAACACTAATAATAATTATAATCTACAGTATTTACACTTTTTTGTAAACTAAACTTGTACTCTATTACATGTTTTTTTGCAATCTAAATATAAAAGAATAATAAATTGTAAAAATGTTAATGTCATATTAATAGTTTTTACTGTAATATCGGATCTACTACTTCATGCGTATCTAAGGAATAACTGCAAACACCATGACATTGTATATTTTGTATTTATAATGTATATTTATGTATACAAAATATAAAAAGTGCAATGGTGTTTGCAGATATTCCTTAGATATGCATGAAAAGCTATTAGCAGATCCGATATTACAGTAAAAATTTAACAATTATTTAGGTAAACCGATTATAATTTTTTAAAAATATAATCAGACCTAAACCTCTTTTTTAAAAATATACTTAAAAAGGGTATAAAAAAAGACAGATTTGACATGTGGTTTAAATATCAGCAAAGACTAAACTTGTGAATTGGCTTTGAAAAGTACAGGCCTATTAAGCTTGCTTCTACACATTACACATGCAAAGCTACATGTTTTAACACTACATACAATAAAACACACATATCACATTTTATTTAGGGTTGACATTAATCAAATTTGGAGCTTGTTATTGGCTGAAATAACCTAGAAAATCATCCATAAAACCCATCCTCAAATACCATCTTAAAAATACAGTCGAGCTGACAATCATGTAATTATGATAATGATCAATGTACAGAGAGGAAGCGATTTAAAGCTATAACATGCTTTAGTACAGGAATATTCCCCCAACCCCCACATTACAGAGCGTTAGGGTGTGTTTCCATCCATGGCAAATATACATTTTATTCACCCTTATGTTTATTTGTCGATAACGACAGGTTTAATCTGGCTGAGAACGAGGTTATTACGTTACAACAATCAGTTGTGGTATATTTCGCCTTATATTCTTTTCTATACAATTCGGAAATGCTCAGCAGAACTGGAATTACAATGAAATAACTTCATATTATAAATATGAAAATATGGCAATAAAAGCTTTAAAAAAGACTGATTCAAACCTGCATGGATCCGTCCTGACGCATCCTACCGAAGCCCGAAGATTTGGCACGATAATTCAGTCGGTTCCCGGTGATGCTCGAATCTCTCCGTGTCCTCTGAGCATCAGCATCAGTCGCCAGAGAACGCGCTCTGACGCTCCCGGCCGTGCCAACGTCACTCATTCGCGCTTGCTGCTGGGAGTTGTAGTTTTCTAGAAAAGAGCAGTTCAGCTGTTTGTAGTCCTTAAACCCGGAAGACACTTGGCATTTTCGACGGATTATCACATTTCCAGCATTTGATGTAGAGTAAAATAATATTATTATATAGCAGCGCGTTAGCAATTTACTTTTTTTTATTTATTAAAAAAACAAAACAAAAACTGAGTTTTCACAATTCACGTTTGAGGTAGGCTAACTATGTTGTAGAACAACAAACCTCTCCAAGTCATGTTAACAACAGACCTTGCTTTATTCAAATATCCAAAACGTTTAAATCAGAATTCAAGATGTATTTAAATTATGCATAAATAAATATTATATTTATACCTATATAAATAATAGGGCCTATTTAACTTGAGATTTAAGAAATAAATTAGACAAAATTAAGTGCTCTACAGATTTTTTTTTCTTGCATTAAAATAGATTAATATCCTACTGGATTAAAAATAATAATTTAGGCCTAATCAGTTTTTCAGTTTATTCTTTTATTATTGTTGGAATTATAGTAAGAAATATTTTAGATTCCTTAAATGGTGAAACCAATGATTTTTAACAGGTAAGCGATATCGTCCTCTTTTGGAAGACGAAACAAAGTAGTTTCGCTGTCACAACGAAGCACACAGCGCCATGGTGGCGGCAGCAACAATACTACAGCGAGAATAAAAGTTACGCCTTCTTTCTTTGCGTGAACATTTGGGCGGCGTTATGCAAATCTTCCCACATAGTGATGTAGACATGTGGGGGCGTGTTAGAACGAGCCGTTTTAGGTAGGCGTGGTTGACTCTTAACTTTTATAAAGAATATCTCTTTGGATTTGAGACTTTAGTCTTTGCAACTTTACAGATCTTCTTTATGCACCAAGAGCTTGTAACACTCCAAAGAGAAAGGAAAAATTTAAATCGCATCATATGACCCCTTTAAATCTCATTGGTTTGGTATCCGTCAATCGTTTTAATCTGGAAACCCTGAAAACCCCCGGCATGAAGTAGGTTAGGCAAAAATACTCAAATATGTGAGTTAAAAGATGGCCTACTTTAGTGTCCTTGGCAAATTAATATTTAGATTTTGCTCAATATTTCAGTGTCTCGCCCTAGAGCGTCTGTCAGCGGTATCGATTGAGATGAGGCGTGTGTAACAGTTTGTAACAGTGTTTCAGTCTGATTTCATCTTCACTGCACCATTTAGAAACATTTACAGGCATGTTTAAACCGCACAGATGCTTCGTTCACCCTGTCGAGCACATGTTTTGTTTGTTTGCTATGGTCTGCGGTCATTTGAAACATGAGCTGCGAGTTCTTCTTCCGTCGGATTGTTGCAGCAGCGCGACCTCTACTGGCAGCTCCAGTGTAAGCGCTATTAAATGTCATATTGCCCCTTTATGAACTAATCGACCTATATATTATTAAAATATTTAGTCTGCATAGAACAATGGTGATGTTTTTTAGTCAGAGGAAATCGAATTTTAATATAGTTATCAATAAAACATCAATACAATTTTTTAAAATACTAAATTTCTTTAGTATTTTAAGGCTTTTTCAAATCTCTGGCAAACATGTAATCTTTGGATACATTATATGAACCTGAATTTATATAAGTGTAAATGTATAAAGCAAATCTAAAGGAATGCTAATAAGAATTCCAATTATTATTCCAATATTTCAACACGAATACTAAAAATTCAATAGTGGATAAACTGAAAAACAGATTCAGTTTTGAGAAGCAAGATGTAATTACTCACAGCAGTGACACAATGCTATTTAAGTATTATGCATATACTTCTATAGTATTTAGAAATATTTTGAACTGGCTTTTATTTTTATATTTTCCGTTTTAATTGTAGTTGAAGTTTTAGTCATTTTTATTAGGTGCTTTTGTCATTTGTATTATAATATTTATATTTTATCTTATTTTATTTTAAATTCATTTCAATTAACCAAACAATTTTTAAGTTTTAATTTTAATTTTGGTTTCATTTAACAAATGCATATCATTAAATTTATATAAATATTCAATTAAGAAAATATAAATAAATATATTTATTTATATTTTATTTTATGTGTGTGTGTGTGTGTGTGTGTGTATATATATATGGTTATCATTATAATTATAATCATACAATTATTCTAAATTATTATTATTATTATAAATAATTTGTTCCAAATTATTAAAACATTTGTTCCAATGGTTGTGATTTTTTTAAACCAAACTATTTTTTACAGTAAATGCGTTTCTATTTTACATTTTGTTGTTTGACTTTGAGACCTGGAAGTTAGAACAGTTCTATTAGCTTCTAATTCTAATTTCCATCCTATGAACAATAAAACGGATACTTGTATGTTGGCCATGATATGCTTTACAGTGCTGATATATGTCCTGCTATTGAACACATTTGAGTATGGAGGACTGCATCGAGGTCATCCTCGAGGAGCACAGCAGCAGGTGGCTCAGTCATCAGCAGTCCGGCCCCAATGTCACCTTACTGATCAGATCTGCCTTCGCTGGAGTCTATAGCCTCTGGTCCATGTTCTGTATGCCTGGACTGAGGATCCCTTTCAGACTAAAGGTGCTTTGACTTTCTGCACATTTCTCTCTTTAACAGAGAGAAGTTGAGAGAAGCTAGGGAAGCTGAAAAGGTCTGGTATGATATTCTCCCTGGTGCCATTTCAACAAAAGAACAAACTCTAAATGTTATCAAGCTTCTAGAAGGACGCAGAGGCTATCTGGCTGACCTGGGATCAGGCGATGGACGTTTGGTAAGCCAGGGATGAAATGGCAGGCTTTGGAGCTTATACTAGATGAATCTGCAACATTTCACGTATTAACTTTCCTGTTCTGAAATGCAGGTATTTGCAGCAGCATCAATGGGATTTCAATGCACTGGTTTTGAAATAAACTGCACATTATTGGCGTGTTCAAGGAGTAAAGCATGGTGGCATGGGGTACACACTGATATTCATTTCGTTAAACAGGACGAAAGGTAAGGTAAGCTTTATACGTATGTATTTCAATTATTTTACATTATGTCAAACATGTCTATAACTTTTCTTACTGCAGCTCTTTTATATTTCAGACGGATCTGTCCAAATACAGAAACATGACCGTGTTTCTGGCTCCTGCAGTGGTATGTTGCTGGATTGCTGTGTGGGGGGCGCTATAGGATCGTATAATTCATTTTCTGTCTTTTATCTACTTGCAAATCCCACATGCATTTAAGTATTTTCAATTTTATAAACTGCTCACCCTTATTTTGTGTCCTCGCTTGCATTCAAACAGGCAAGTAAGCTTCAATATTATATAATATATTATTAACAAAAAATATAATTTTTATAACATTTATTAATTTTAAGTTCATGTATAAATATGGTATTGTTCATTTGTAATTCATGATGCATTGATTATGTTAATATAAGAAAATAGCAATTGATATTAATAAATGATAAAAAAGTTATTAACTATTGCATTAGTTATTGTTAATGTATGTATTGTAAATTGTAATATAATAAACCCTAAATGTTAGCAAAACATCATATGAATACCTCATATGAGGTTTGAAGATGTTTAATGATGATTTATATGTGTTCATGTGGCAGATGGGGGTTCTGGAAGAGAAGTTGTTAAAGAAACTTCCTGAGGATGCCAGAGTCATTGTGTGCCGTTTCCCTTTTCCTCACTGGCCTCACAGCTGCACTGCTGGATCTGGATTAAACCAGGTCTGGGCTTATGATGTGCACACTGCTAGAGAACCGTCCAGAACGTCACCAATCACAAGCCTGAACCAGCCTACTGGTCACCAGTGAGCAGTTGATTCTCAATGGTCAACAACAAACAAGCCACTTGCAACTCAGAAATCAAGATATTTAGCATTTTATAAAAGCTTTACATAACAGATGATTAATGTTTCTGTGTGACTGGCAAAACAATGAATTTCCAAATCCTATTCCAAAGCAAGCTGCAATATTGGATGTGTGATGCTAAATAAATTGTTGAAATGTTTTCATTCATTTCCTGCCTTGTATTGGACATGCAATTTACATTGGGGTCTAAAAAGTTTGAGATCACTAATGAAAATGCTTCTATTTTACTTAAAAAAAAAATATTATTATATCATCAACCTATAATTTGAGTTAGAAGTTAAACAAAAATATTGGTTATTATAGTTAACTGAAAATAAAATAAACATGAACAAAAATATAAAAAAATATATTTTAATAAATACAATTAATAATTAATTTAACCAATAAAATGAACAAAAACTATACAGACATATTTAAAATACTAAAAATAACACTGGATTTGTGATGATCCAAAAAGCATCTTGAATTTCACATTTTTCTGTCTGTACAAAGAGTCACATGATCAACACCACTCATTAACTTACATTTGATTTGTGTACTGTACTGAATCTGAACTAGTCCTTTATTTTGACATAAAAATCTTAAAGCTTTATTTCAAGGCTTAAATGAAAAACAATCCAAGATTTTCAACATGGTCTCAGACTTCTGCACTTCACTGTATGTCTGTTATATTCAAATTCAGTAAAGGACTCAGGAGCATGAATGAAGTCTCGAGAATGTTATCTTTCATACAGTTAGGATGGTTATTAGGGATATGATGCATAAACATCTAATCTTCTGATGCATCGTTTGTCTCCTAATCTCCCTCACAGCCACATGAGAAGTTGCCTTGTATGACTTGGGTACCCAGAATGAGCTATTAGATCTGTCACATTTACATACTTATCATCACACTGTCTGCTGCATTACCCTTATCTATGCAAAGCCGATGCTGTTGGCTGGAAAATACAAGCTTATGTTTTTTATGCAATGTCCACCACCTACCCCTGCAAACACAAGCTCCTCACCCTTCCATACATTCATGTCTTTACACTCGGCTATAGAAGAACCTTCCAGGCATCAGAGACACCTCTGATGAATAATTCATGAGACGTGATCAGCTAGACATGAAAAGCAATAGGACTTGAAAAAAGTGAAAAATGGGATCTGCATTTCATTTTGTACTGTTATGTGTTAAATTAAGCCTGTGCTGTGAATATCCATTGTTTGCATGCAATCAATATAAATGTGTACTGTTGAATTTAACTATAAATATCACTTATAGTAAACACTTTATATTTCACTTTATATTCAGCATCAACACACTTGAGCTGATCCAAAACAAAAGTAAACATTTCCCCACTCTTCCTAAAGACCACTTTGCAATGCATTGCATAAAATGTGTTACCTTAATTTGCAGAAGACTGAGAACTGATGGCCGTCTCCTTGAACAAAGGAGGTAGAGCAGTTTAATGGACGTGAATGTTTAACACTGTAGTCACTGTCGTAATACTGTTAGATGCTGAGCGCATCTTACAAGAAGATGAGCTGTTATAAAGACAAAAAATGCATTATGCATTACATATGCATTAGCCATGACATTATGTAAATATGTGAGGAAAATTATAAGACACAAGCATATTTATTTTATTTCTATCATTTAGACTCTAAATATCATACTGTGATCTACGTAGGTTAAATGCTTCTTATCTATCTAAATACAATATTATTGTAAATCTGTTGGCTGAATGTCAGTGTGTAAAAGGAGTGCCATAGTATGAGTCATACATGCGCCACACATCCAAATCCACAGTGAAACTAGTGTAAAACCACCACATGGTGGCGCTAGAGCGCTTTACTGTAACATGCTGTCTTTAAAACATGTTCATGCATGTCCAAACTTACTGAAACAAAATATTCTAACATACTTCATAGACAGATTAAGTAATATAAAGTGAATAAAATGCGTTCAAAATCTGACAAATAAAACATAATACATATTGTAAGATAGAGTTTTTACGTATTGATTAATAATAATAAATAATAAAAAAAATCTGAAAATAATCATATTAAAAATAATGTTGTTTAGTTTGTTTTTCCATGTTAATGTTATACATTTCATTTAACTGTACTGTGATCAAAGTTATTACAACTGTGCTTCACAGATCTGTCTATTCTCAGAAATTAAATATGCCATATGCCAAAGCGCAAACCATAACATTGACTTGGCGATTCAAGTCGCTGATTAGAGACGCGAGTCTAGCATGACGCTCCAATGCGAATAAAATACCTGGGCGGAGCGGCGCGCGCGTCTATAAGAGCGAGGCTCTGTGGTGATTCCTCCCAGTCTGGACTCGAGCATGGACATACTCAGGACTATAACACACCATCATCATCATCATCATCAGCCTGTGAATAACGGCAAGATGTGTGAACACACACACCACAGACCCACCGAGCGCAGACGAGGGAAATCAGAGGATAATAATGCTCACGCCACGCAAGAAATGTCACGCATCATCACGGATTCATCCACTGGGAAATGTTACTGTAGAGGAAAAGTTTTGGGCAAGGTAAATATTTTACATTTGACTTATGAAAATGTATTATGGTGATATCATAGTATTTTTGGAGCACCATTTACATACCAGAGTACAGAAATATGGTAATACCATGATATATATTAAAGCCAATAGTATTTTGAAAGTGTTTTATTTGGAGTTTTACGTTTCTATTCAATAAACCAATAAAAATAGTTATGCATAAATTTAAATAAGAGATTACCAATAGAATAAATTGTATTTATATGTAATGCACTAGTTTGTTTGTCATTGTAGCATGTTATAATGCATGCTGTCTCTCTGTTGCAGGGCGGTTTTGCCAAATGCTATGAATTTACAGATCTGAGCACAGGCAAAATGTATGCAGCCAAAATCATTCCACACACGCGTGTTTCCAAACCTCACCAAAGGGAAAAGGTAACTTGCTTTCCTGTTATCATGTGTTTGCTCCTGGCTGCATTGCTTGAATTGTTTATTAAGCTTGCAACCGTTTGGTTTACAGATCGACAGAGAAATCGAATTGCACAGATCCTTGCATCACAAACACATCGTTCACTTCTACCACCATTTCGAGGACAAGGATAATATCTACATTCTACTTGAATACTGCAGCAGACGGGTGAGTGCTGTCGACGTCCTTCTTCGATTGATTAAATGGATCTTGTAGGAAGTATTGTTGCTCACATACAGTTCTTTTGTTCTTCAGTCACTAGCACATATTCTCAAGGCCCGAAAGGTGCTTACAGAATCAGAGGTTCGGTACTACCTAAGACAGATCGTCTCGGGGTTGAAGTATCTCCACGAGCAACAAATCCTCCACAGAGACCTTAAACTAGGTAAGCAGCTAGCTTATACATTATAACCCCAAAATACAGCCAATAATACAGCTTTCCTGTAGTTCAAACATGGCGGCAGCAATGCCAAAGTCATAGGTTCGATTCCCAGGGGAATGCATGAACTGATAAAACATTTACATTGAATGCAATGCAAATCACTTTGGATTAAAAAACTGTCTGCCAAATGCATAGATGTAAATGTAACAAACCCCAATTCTGTTGCTCTTCCCAGGTAACTTTTTCATCAACGAGTCTATGGAGCTCAAGGTTGGAGACTTTGGTTTGGCTGCAAAGCTCGAGCCGATCGAGAACCGTAGAAGAACAATATGTGGAACACCAAACTACTTGTCGCCTGAAGTCCTCAACAAGCAAGGGCACGGATGTGAATCTGACGTCTGGGCGCTCGGATGTGTAATGTAAGTATATTGACCGACTTTTCTCTTGGATTTCATGTAAATGTCATGGAGATGCTTAATTATGATGGATCATTTGCATCCAAACAGGTATACCATGCTTTTGGGAAGACCTCCGTTTGAGACTACTAACCTTAAAGAAACGTACCGGTGCATTCGGGAAGCGCGATATTCCATGCCGTCGTCTTTGTCAGCCCAAGCCAAGCATCTCATCAGCAGTATGCTGGCCAAAAACCCAATGGATAGGCCACAACTCGATGATATCCTACGCCACGACTTTTTCTGCCAGGTGTGTGTCTCTTTGTGGAAACGAAACTATCTTGACCAGTTCCCTCACAATGAAATATTCAGTGGCTTTGAGCTGTTTTTTCCCCCGTCTTATATCAGGGTTTCACACCAGACAGACTGTCTGCTAACTGCTGCCATGCGGCCCCAGACCTTCACCACACCAGCCCTGCCAAGAGCTTCTTCAAGAAAGCCGCAGCCGCCCTGTTCGGTGGAAAGAAGGACAAAGCCAAGTACTTGGAGACTCAAAGTAAGCACTTTCACCCCAAGTTTAACCTAAACCATTTCTGGATTATCCAAATTGCATAATCAGATTGATAATGATTTTGCTTCTTGCAGATAAACCAACTAAGGAGGAGGAAGACATAAACAGACTATGCCTTGACCTCCGGAAAACGTCAATCAGCCCTCAACCCTGTAGACAAACTCTTGAGGTGAGCTCCTTCGTCCTTCGTCAGAGTTGAGCAGATAGTTTAAGACTGTAACCTAACCCCACATTCCTTAATTTCCCACAGGACAGTAAAGCCCCCATCCCAGCTGCTGGAAAACCAGCTGTCCCGGCGAAGGACACCAGCAGCAAACAACACATTAAAGACAGCATTCGAATGATAGTGCGAGGAACCCTCGGGAGCTGCAGTAGCAGCAGCGAATGTATGTTGCACGTTTTTTTGTTTGTTTTCAAATTAAGGATGTTAATGGATGTTTTAATGCGATATCTAATGGGTTTTTGGTGCTTTTTGTGTCTTCAGGTCTTGAGGACAGCACAATGGGAAGCGTCGCAGACACCGTGGCCCGAGTACTGCGAGGCTGTCTGGAGAACATGCCGGAAGGTGCGTATCTCATGATCTGAACTCCATCTGCTTCTCAAATGCAAAGTCACTTTTAATAATCCATTTCAATCTCTCGTTCACAGCTAATAACATTTCAAAAGAGAGCGTGAACAGCAGCTTC